TTCCTTCCTTCCTTCCTTCCTTCCCTCCTTCCTTCCTTCCTTTCCTTCCTTCCTTCCTCCTTTCCTTCCTCCTTTCTCTCTCTCTCTCTTTCCTTCCTTCCTTCTTTCCTTCTTTCCTTTCATCCTTCCTTCCTTCCTTCCTTCCTTCCTTCCTTCCTTCCTTCCTTCCTTCCTTCCTTCCTTCCTTCCTTCCTTCCTTCCTTCCTTCCTTCCTTCCTCTCTTTCTTTCTGTCTTTCTTTCTTTCATTCATTTTTTTCCAGTTACAGTCCTGGTGCTTGAACTCAGGGCCTGGGCATTATCCCTGAGCTTTTTCACACAATCAAGGCTACTAATCTACCACTTGAGCTACAGCTCTACTTATAGCTTTTCCCCCCCGTAGTTAGAGAAGAGACTCATAGACTTTCCTGCCTGAGCTGGCTTTGAGCCATGATCCTCTGATTTCAGCCTTCTGAGTAGCTAGCATTATAGGCATGAGCCACTAGCACCCAGCCTAGGCTGCCTTTTTTTTTTTAATCACTACTGCTTCCCTAGCACTTGAGAGCGCAATGAGGTCACCTCTGGCACAGGGAAGAACTCTCCACCCACAGAGGAGCAATGCTAGGGTTCTAGGTAAATGGAATGCAGTTGAGAAGATGAGAATATTGAAACAATATCATTCAGAATGATCTGGAAATGCAAGACAAAGCTAGACAGTTCCTTTCATTTTTTGCTGGCAGATGACTGAAAGTGGAGATCACAAAATACTGCAGCTCTAACCTCATCCAAGTCATACCAAATAAGGATCCTAGGTTCTGCCCTGGTATTGGTCAAAGCACACACTGAATGGCAGGCATAACCAGTTGAACACCACTGGCCTAGAAGATCTCAGAGGCCTTTGCTTCCCAGAGATCATTGAAGACAGTATGCGGGGAGGTAGAAATGAGACTGAGTTGTCAATTAGACAGACCCACTACCTCACACGTTGCCAGCATGCAAAATGTGGGTCAGTGGGTCTGTTTCACACTTGGAATAGTCCTGATGTCTGTTGGCATTCGAGCTTTGTGTCAATCAAGCTATGGATGGGGTAAACCATGGTGTGCCTCCAGCAGACGGGGGAATTCAATTCTCCTTGACAAACAATAGAGAATCCATTTTCTGAGTTGGCAATCTAGCCATTGTCCTAAGTAGCAAACTCCCTGACATGGCCAACTCCCACAGCCAGAGCAGAAGCTCACATTGTGTAATCATACACACACATTCACACACACACACACACATACACACACACACTCACACACACACACACACACACTCACACACACACAGTGATTTTGGGTGTATGTTGTTAGCCCAGTGGCAGATTCTCCTCCATGAGCTTTCCTCTGGCAGAGCACCCATTTGCTTTATGTGGCCAATCAAATCCTCAGCACTGTTCTTTCTCCTTTGCTTCCTTCTATTGCTTCTGACAGAGTTTGCCAGTTAGCTGAGGTCAGGATTTCCTTTTCACAAACAACCTGCTTTCAGTCAGTGGGGCCAGAGGTTTCCTAAATTACAAACCCTTTCATTTTTTTTTTCTGCCACAAGTCATCCTGTCAGTTTGTGCGATCTCACAGAATGGAGGGAAATGAAAACATTCAGACACTGAAAGAAAGACGTGCCCTGATGAACACAATCTTTCTGGATTGTCAAGAAACTATCCTGAACAGAATAAATGGGACTCATTCCAAAGGAAGGTTGTGGAGCAGGGCTCAGTGTCCAGAAGGAAATTTCTTAGAAGTTTTAAGCCAGTGTCTGTCATCTCCACATTCCGTTAAGCAAATGATATTCTTTGGGTTCATTTGAATGGAGAAATGTCCAGGTCTCATACAAATGTTTTGAAATGCAAATGTAGAAAGTTATCTTATGTGTGGGTGCTTGACATTTGTAATTTTACTTTGGAAGACAAATTTTAAGTCAAACTCTGGAAGAATGATGTAGGATTGAGATACTAGGACATTCAGAAATCATTGAGAAATGGTGCTATGAAGGGGTTGATAGGTTTGGAAGGCTGAATGGGAGACACCTGAGCTCATGCTAACATTTAGTGATATTCTGCGTAGTAGAAAATCAAACTTCACTATTCCTACCCTGCCTAATCGTACTGTGATTCTGCTGCAACCATCAGCGTGGGTTGAGGTCATGCCTTTGCATCATTTGGCTGTGACCCCTGGGGCAAAACATTTAACCCAAGCTTTGTAAACTGTGAAATAAAAATGGCTGAACTAGACAGTACTGAGAATATAACAATAGAAGCCTGAATTCTTCCTGTTTCCCCCCCCCCCCTGGAAGAGGAGCAGGCATGAAGATCACTGAGCCTGAGGATTTACCCTGGTCCCCTCTCTCCTGGCTACTCCTTTTCTGAGCTTCATTTCCAGAGTTAGGTCCCTCCCCTCTGCTTCCTCGGCTTGTTGAATCCCGTTCCCAATCCAGGCTGCTGTCAGTCTCTTCTCTGGCTGGCCTTGGTCTTTTAGCAGCATTTTCTGCCTGGCCATACCAGTCTCACCCCTAGCTACCCACACTGGCTTGATGGGTGCTTGAAGCCATGATTTTTTTTTTTTTTAGACAGAACAATGCCATATATCTATATCTGTATCTATGTACTTTATTTATCTATCTATAGAGTCTGCTTCTATGAGATGCTATTTCTTCACTTGGGTGGAAAAAATATGAGCAAAACATAGGGCAGTGTCGAAATAGTTAACAATCTACCAGATTGTTTCCCAAATCGCCCATGCATTATTTTATTTGGCTTCACAATAATCCTTCGATGCAGCTAATTACTGTGACTGCCTTTTGACAGAGAAGTTAAATGGCTTGGCCTATTATGATCTGAATTCACATTGTGCCTATTTCCCCATCCAACCTATTAGCTAGTTTGTTCATTGGTATCTCTAAGAACAAACCCAGATTTCAATTACTAGTCTCCTAGCCCGTCTGCCCACTGCTTGCCTAGACTGCTCTCATGGCCTAATAACGTTTCCCCCACTTCTTCTCTTGCTCCTCTCTAGAATATGCTCCACCATCAGCAGCTGGAGGGATTATGTCAAAGAGCAAGCTGGATCAGGTCCTGCCCCTGAATAAGCCCTGTAGTAACCTTTTCTTTCACCCAAAGTAACATCTGAACCCTTCAAAGTCTTCTTGATCTCTCATTTTTCTTAGACTTATCAACTCCTTTTCTCTTGGACCTCTGGGTATAGATTATATATTTATTTATTTATATTTAAATAATATATGTATATATGTATGCAGAGGAGAGAGATTGAGTGTACATATAGAAGAGTATATGTAGAGTATACATAGAGTATACACACATATTATCAGCAGGGTCTTTGCCTACATGTTCTGCCTAATCTTTCTCACTGACTACTTCTTGGTAATCAAACCTGTCCAAAGGCTTATGGTTGTCAGTTGCATGTCCATTAAGCCATGTTACCTGTTTAATTTTCCATGAGGAACCTTTCTGATATGAATATATTTTCTTTGGTGGAGGAGAGAAAACTGGAAATTGAACTCAGGAGCCTCATGCATACCAAACCAAGTGTTCTCCTATTTGAGCAACATCTTTGTGTCCTTTTGCTTCAAGTTTGTTTTTCAGAGACCTTTGCACTTTTGCCTCAGTTGGCTTCTGACCATGATCCTCCTCCTTTTACCTCAGTAACTCAGTATTATAGATGTGCCATTATATCCTGGGCTCTGACTGTATCTTAGTCATTTAGTAATTCACTAATTTTTATAACAACAACAAAAATAACTTGCTTATTTGGCTTTACCAACTCCACTGTGAGCTCAGTACTGGAGTCACAGTCACCCTGCCCTTAACACCTAGAGAATGTCACATGATGGGGGCCCAGGAAGTCTATTGTATGAAATATAAACTACCTATGAAGGCATAGGTGGGTGAAGGAGAACAATTGAAATAAGGACTTAGTGCTGAGTATCATGATGGGAAAGGCTTTGTAGATACAGAGCTGGTCATAATTTGGGTGGATTGAAGCTGGATGAGGTCATTTCTGGCACTCAAAATGTTCTGAGCAAAGTTGAGGTACAGGTGCTTCAGGGCTCTTTGGTCAGTTAGAGCCTAATATGTTGTTCATTAAAGTAATGACAATGCTAAGAAGGTGGTGCAGGCTTCATTTAAGGCTCCACAATGCTAAAAAGCATCTGAGGGTCATGTACATGCTCCAAGGGCCACCCTTTCAGTGCAGCATCCTGGAAGCTATGTTAAAAATATGCTCCAGAAAATTCACCCTCTGAATGTGTATCCTCCACTCAGCTTCTGGACTTTCTTCTGTTAAAACTTAATAATCCCATCACTCCTCACACATTACAGATTTCACTCCAAATCTCTTCATTTTTAAGACAGACACCTCATCATTCAAACTGCTTAGCCTAGTGTGAGCCTGTGAAAAATATACATCATGGGGCTAATTAATGGGTCAGATGCTGCATGTCTGATACTCATGTTTTGGGTAAATGCTATATTTCTGAGATAAAATTCTCATGGGAAGACCAGTTGTGCAGTTTTATAGCTTTCTGTCAGTGATTAATCTGGCAAATTGCAGAGATATGTGTTGTGAGCATTCTTTTTGTTGTTGTTGATTAAACAACTTTATATTGCTATCCCTTGGGTACCAAATGACTAAATCTATGCCGTATAATCTAAGATTCTGTTTCCCTTAGATAAATGTGACTGAGAGTCCAGTTTATATGCTTTGGGGGAAGTAAAGAGATTTTCCACTTAGCAGTTCTTCAGTGATCAAAGAAACAGCTGTTGCTTTCCAGTGTGTCCCCCTAAAGACTGCTTAACCCTCACTGAATTGCTCATGTGACTTCCTTTTGCTGGATTTTTGAGTGTCCTAATGCAAACAAGATCCTGCAACTTTGTGTAACCAAGGGGAAAGGATGGTTCTGATATTCAAGGAGTGTACAGTCCTTCACAAATCAATTTTATTAATTTAAACACAAAATTAATGGAGAAAACTTCTGTACACAATTGCGGACACAACACACTTTTTTTTTCTTTTTTCTTTTTTTTACAGTGAGGCCAAGATCAATTTTGTATTTTCAGTCTGCAGTGTACAATAAAAGTAAGATGAAAAGGGTAAAAAAATTCAACTTCAAGCAGAAAAGAAATCTTAATTCAATTCTTAAACAATTTGGAAAATTCACAAATGTTGAATTCTAGCAGCAACATGAAACTTGAGGGGAATAAAAAGATGGAGTCATTGTTTACTCTGAGTCAAAGCTGGTGACTCCTCCCTCCCCTCTCCTCAATATAATAATAAAGAAAATTTATCCAAAAAGTGATTTCATGGTAATGGAAAGTTTTAGATGAGATTTCTATTTCCATAGAAATCACTTTTGGAGAAACTTTCCTATGGTGTGACAAAAGTGACAATTCTTATTTCCTCAATTTATGCTTGTCATGTAATACATAAGGGAGGAGTATTGGTTTTATTTGGTAGTGATGACCAAAGCCATGTCCACTATTGGCAATTAATTTGTCTCTGGGTAGGGAGGAAAACAGAATATGTAAGGGAAATGAAAAAGTTTTGCTGATTTCCAGATAATGTCCTCCTTTATCTAAATAAACAAAATGCAGACACAATAATAATTCTGAGCACATGAAAACTCTGCTAGTCTCCAATTCATTTTATTAATAAAATATATCTATCATCTATATTCTTTCTGTGGGATGAAGCATTTGAATAATCATTTTCCAAGTAGTTACATATAATACATGAGTGTTAAAAAGAGAAAATGAGGTGGTAAGAGGACTTTAATTTGAGTTAAGAAACTGCTCTGTTATTTTATTAAGGTCCTCCTAACAGCATTAAAGATCTCAGATAGAAGAACTGAGTGGGGAGGGAAAGATTTGGAAAACAAAATCCTTATTGACACTTGACATCCATGCTTTTTGGTCTTGACAACATCAAAAAAAAGTCCATTATCTACATATTTATACCCAATACTTAGCTAAGGCACTTGCACACAAGTCTGTGCACATAGTGTCTCAAGGTTCACTATCAAGGCATTACTACCTCTCAATATCATTTCCCTAAATAATATGTAAAAGATCATCCATTATTACAAATTTACACCAAAAATTCTTTCTGTACATGATTGTCTCAGTGATGTACATATTATACGTTTAAATTAGACATACTTTACTTTGCAATGTGCTAAAATTCAAAGTACTTGCCATGTACTTGGGCAAAAGCCTTTAATCCTTTATTTCTTAACATTATGTCCCTTCGATCACTGTTGATGCCAAAAAGAAAATAGACTGTGTGGGAAACCTGTATGATAATGAGAATTATACCTCAGCAACTCTGTTTTGAAGACAAGTCTGTTCATAAATAAGTAGAGATGTACAGATTACCCGGGGAATGAGACACCAAAAACGTAAACGCAAAACCTCCTTTGTGAGAGAAATTCTTCCACTGGTATTCAGGAAACACAAGTCAGTCTTTGTTGTGCAATCAAGTCTGCTGTATTGGAGAAGCTGTTTCTGTCACATTGAAAATGCTAAAACTGAAGTGTCTGCAGGTCCTTTCTTCACAGGTTTGAACCAGGAGTTAGTGTGGCAAAGACACAGTACGCTGTGCTAGAACATTCTCATGGCTTATTTTCATTGGATTCACAGTACTCGAGTCAACAGCTGTTCTGAAGAAATAGACGTGTTCCTCCATTAACCAGGAGGGCAGAGGTCAAGACCAGCAGCAGCTGCACATCCATATGTTGAAATCACTAAGTTCTGGAGTCCAGCGCTGACACAAGACTCAGGCCTGTTGGATTTGTCCCTGGTCATGGGGCAGTTGTGCAGTTTCAAAGTGTCATGTGGCTGTTACAGGTACTCCAGTTCCAAGGCATGATGTAAGGCCATGAGATCCGAGTGACTGGAGACCCTCCAGAAGGGCATAGCGTGCTGCATAGGGGCAGACACACAGTGAAGTCAGGGAGGTTACTAATCACACACCCTTCTGGTTCCTCCTGGCATCCCTTTGTTTCATTACTGTGAAAACTGCCAGCTGTCATCACATTGACTTAAAACAAAAATCTGAACTCAGTCCTCCCCAAAGAATACTGGACTGAGTTTTAAATGTAATCTAGAGTCTGCTTCTTTTAAGAAGGTGAGGAGTATTCTTAAGTAGGTCTATACTGTAACTTATATATGAATTACTAGCTGTGACTCTACTGAAAACAGCTGCTATTCAAATATATATACAAACACATATATACACATGCATATATACACACATACATATATACATATTTTGAAGAACATGTGTATGAAAGTTAAACATGTATATGAAAGTTAGAAGAAGACATGTCTTCACCAGGTGCTGGTGGCTCACGCCTGTAATCCTAGCTACTCAGGAAGCTGAAATCTGAGGATCATGGTTCAAAGCCAGCCCAGGCAGGAAAGTCAGTGAGACTCTTATCCCCAGTAAACCACTCAGTAAATCGGAAGTGGTGCTGTGGCTCAAGTGGTAAAGCACTAGCCTTGAGCTGAAGAGCTGAGGGACAGCACCCAGACCCAGAGTTCAAGCCCCATGACTGACCAAAAAACCCCAAAAACAAAAAAAAGAAGATGTATCTTATGAGTCTAAGCCATTTTCCTTAGTTGGTAGTACTTTACAAGTTTCTAAATGTAATTTTTCTCAGATATGAAGCAACTATTATTTCCCATAATTCAACCATTTGATTCTTTACATTGACTTTAAAATGACTTTTCCACACAGGAAAAATTCGAAATGGATAGCTAAAGTTGAATTTTGTGGTGGTTTAAACCATCAATCTAAAGATCAACTTATAAGGAAATGTTTGTAAAAAGTCTGAATAAACCAGAAATGAGAAAACCAGGTTACCTCAATCCATAGAGGAGGAAATAAACTATAACTGCTCAAAAGGATCATGGTAAGCATTTATGCATCAACAAAAAGTTTTCTCCTGTGGGAAAGGTAACTATCACCTCTCAGAAGAAAATTAATAGATTTTTTTGCACACATAAATGATGTAAAGGCCAAAGTAAAATTTGTAAGTATAATTTTGGGGACATTTTAGACTAAGGAAAGACTCTGACTTACAGGTGAACAATAAAAATGAGGTTTTGTTTTATTTTTTCTCATTTGTAGATAATGAAAGCTACTATTCTGATATAGATCACATAGCTGTTATATACTACATTCAAACTATTAAGTACATCTATTAACAAAATCATATACTGAATTCTAATATCAAATATAGATCTTTCTGGACTCAATACTACATAGTATTAATAAACTAAGTGGGTATCCTAAGATCTCTTTGGGGATATAAGGATACTTCCCTCTGGGCAGCTTCAGATAACATTAATTCAGGAATTACCTGAGTATGCAAGACCACGCCTAGGTATATAAGAGATACATATGGCTATGTGAATAAATAGTAGAAATGTACAACAGTCATGGAAATTCCTTGTGTCTTCTTAGAGGGCAGCGATTAACTCTGCCTAGGGAATTAGGAAAATGCCTGTAAAGAGGTGGTGATAGTTGAGCTGGGTATAAAAGGATGAGCATTCAGAAGATTACTCTGCTAACTGTGGGTCAGGGCACAGAAGATAAGGAGAAATTTATTGGTAGAACTCTGGCTAGGTAGGAATAATGATAGGAATAATGTTCTTGACAAGACTAGCTAAAAGAGCTTTGTAAGTCATATTAAAGATTTTATTGATGACGATAGTTGTGATGTATTAGATTTTGTATCCAGCTCTGCTAAGTCATGGGAGATAAAGTGTTATTATTCTGATGAAGAAATGGAGACTTTAAGAGGAGAAGTTTTAAATAATATCTGGTTAAGATACCTACCAGATCTGGGCTGGATCTTCAGTGCCTGAATATTGTAATGTCTCCTATGTTGTAGTTTATTGATTCAGTTGGCACTCTGCCACTTGAGCCATGCCTCCATCCCTTATATTTGATGGTTACTTTGGAGATGGAGTCTGAAGGACTTTTCAGATCCAGCTAGCTTTGAACCATGATACTTTGGATTTCAGCTTCATGACTAACTAGGATTACAGATGTGAGCCACTGGTGCCCAGCATGACACATCACTGCAGCAACTATCTACAGGCAAAACCTTCCCCCCTTTCTTATCCAATATTTTGCATTTAGCTCTCTGGTCACATATAACATCCATCATTTAAAAAGCTGAGTACACAAATGCTTACAAGTAATTTAAATTTTGCCAAACTACCCCAAACACAATAATAAAAGGTTCCAAAATTTCAAAGCATATATTTTCTGATAGGAAGTATTGCTTTTGTAGGAATTTATTTCTCAGACATAATTGCATGTACACATAAGGACCATTCACTGTAGAATTGTTTGTTATAAATACTGGAACCCATCTAAATGTTTAGCCTGAGGGGTCTAGTTAAATAATAGTATATCCATATAATGAAACACTGATGCAGTCACTTAAAAGGATTAGAGATGCAGCACTCTATATTCTGATACAGGAAAGTGCCAGGATGGATTGCTAAGTGAAAAGAGCAGGTATGGGGGGGGAAGTATATAATTCCCATCTGTAGTTTTAAAAAGACCAATTCGTGCTTTACTTTCATATGAACATGTTATTTCTCAGCAGTTTGCATAGGGAGGTATAAATGTTTCTGATTGTAAATAAAGAGATTTCAAAAGATATATTTTTCTAACAGCTCACTTTGAAAATTATTGCACTTCTACTTATGTCTCTTATTCTGCTCAAAAGAGAAGTGAATTTTTTCAGGAAGAAGATGAAATCCAATTTAAGACATGGCATTAAGAGTAAATCACTGAATGATTTTATAATGACACAAGTCTCTGCAGTCCATGTTCTAAGTTCAGCTGTTTAGGCATCATCAGAATCTTCATTTTGTCTTGTATTTCAGCAAATGTTGGTGCACACATTAAAATGAACATTTTTGATAAAGCCCTTGTTAATATGCAGAAAATGGATGCTTGTCATATTTTCCAGTTATGCTTATTTAGTTTTAAATAAATTTCTGAAACAGAAGGTTATTCTAGAAATGATTTCTTTTATTAGACAGATGTCTAATTCTGTCACTCAAGCATACCATTTTAGGAGAACAGAATTATGTTTAAAAAGCATTTTAATGAGACAAATTATGGAATTAGATTAAATTACTTATGAAAGGCCTCAGACTATATTGGCAAAAAGACCCAGGATGACAGAACAGACTTCAAGTGCACTTTAATGACATAGCCAACTGGGGAATTTCTTACTGGGTTTTGTTTCTGACTTAAATAAAATGTACCACTCTTTAGCAAGCATTATTTAGGGAAATGAAAGACCTCTCTGAATGGAAAAGAGCAGAGTGTTGGAGTACATTTTACAAGAACATAAGAAATCAAGAAGCAAGATGTAAGTAGTTAAAACTGTTTGTGAAGTATGAAAAATAGATTGATTTGTAAAACATTTTAGTGCACAAATGTATAGAACTTCATGTCTATCAATTTAGCAATTCAAATGAGAGGAAAGTAGAAAACTATATAGATATATTACTAACAAAGCACATGAATTATTTTTGTTTATCTGTGAGTTTATGGTGATAAATGTGATGGCCAGAGGAACCCAGTTGGGTTTAAATCCTAGTGTGGCCACTTTCTAGCTATGTGATTTAGACCACCGAATGCCTTAAAATAAAGACTGAGATGTAAGGGTATTACAATTGGCGATAATTTTTGTTAGTTATCATTCAGATTATTAATCAATCATTCTACAGCATAAATTGCTACCTTCATTTATTTCTTTATATATGGAGTTTCTTTATAAGGGATATTGTAGAATGGTAGAGATATTTTTCAAAAATTAAATTCTGTCCATATCTGATACTCATTGTCTATTGCCAATTATTGTATACTTGTGTGTTAAATCTTATCATTTAAGTATTGATTAACTTCAAAAAGGCTAGACAGTTAGAAAACAGGCTGGGTGCCAGTGCCTGTAATCTTAGTTACTTAGGAGGCTGAGATCTGAGGATTGTAGTTCAAAACCAGCCTGGGCAGGAAAGCCCATGAGGCTCTTATCTCCCATTAACTTCCAAAAAAGTCAGAAATGGAGCTATGGCTTAAGTGATAAAGTACTAGTCTTGACCAAAAGCAGCTTAGGAACAGCATTCAAGCCCAGAATTGACATAAAACAAATAACAAACAGGACAGTTCAACTAGTCACTCTGCAAGATAAGAGGAATCTGAATCTTCTGAAAAATCTAAATTTTACACACACAGAGGCAGGTTTCAAGGTGCAAAGAACTTGCTGACATCAAATGTTTGTGTATGTTTACCACATCCAGTCATCCATGGAATCAAATTTGAAAGCTAGGAGGATTCATTCATAGTTTAAAAAAAATTGAAAGAGTATGCTCTTTGTAAGTAGCTGCCTAATTTCTTTTTGGTATGCCCCATGTTAAAAAAGAAAAAAGAATAGCATGTTCAAAGATAAATAGTGGCTGTACTTTTAACTTCTATTCAAAGAGCAAATATGCTATTCCTGCTACCTCTAATTCTCGTATCAGACATACAAATCCTTTGTTTTCCATGATTTATGCAGTCCAGCAAAGACTAACTTCTAAGACCACATTTCTTCATAAAGTTTAGGAAAGGATGGCACAGAAACCTTGATAGGCCTCACAAGCTCTCACCAGTATTCCTTGCAGCTAAAGTGACTACCTTCATAGTCTTCCTCTACCTACCACAAACTACAAAGCCACACTATGACAAGTTTCTCCTGAAATTAAACTTCTGGCGAACCAAAGGAAGAAGACCAGCCTGGCAGGCAGATTCACACTCTGGCCCCAGTCCATACTAGCATGAAATATTACTCTTCAACTCCACATTGCTCAGAGGTGCAAATGTGTTCCAGGCCTCTTCTGGTCACCAGGAGGGCCTGACTAGACATGACTTGGGGATTCCAGTGACTTTCCCAGGAAGACAACTAGCCTCTGGATTTCCATCAAATATTCTCTTTAAATCTCCAGGATTGAGTTTTGGGAATTTTTGCTCAGGCTGGGCTATCTTCATAAAATCTTTCCCCACGGGCTAACAGATGTAACCCAATGAAAGTCATGTTCACTAGTGAAGTGGGAAGGTCAGGACTAATACTTCCACAGAAGTGTGTCAAGCACTAGCAGACAAGAGGAATATTTGGGCGGGGGCAGGATCTAGTGCTGAAGGGGTTCCATGAATGCCAAACACACTCAGAAGGTTTGTAATCCTAGGCACACACTGTATCTAGGGCATCACTAAAATCATCAATCAGATCGCCAACAAAATTATATCAATGTCTCTGCTCCTGTGGAATCAGAGACTCTGAAGGTGAGTCAAGGTATCACCAGAGACTAAACAATCTGACTACATGCCATGCTTGATGCTCAGTGCTGCTTTTGGTGATGCTGAAATATTAGAAATCTGCCATTTCTAGTTAACATTGGAATACCCCAGAAGAACTTAATTGTATTCTTTGTGGAAACATACAAGGACTTCCATGAATGTATGGGGCAAAGAGGAAGAGAAATTATGCTATTAGTTAATCTCATACTTATAGATCACTGAATAACAATTTAGTAAGTTGCATAAAAAATGAAGACAGTTTACATACAACAAACTAAGCAATAAAAGTCTCTACCTCTGAAGCTTAGAATTAGCTGCTGGAACAGACATACAAATAATAATGAGTACCATTTGTTGCTGGCTTACATATATTAGGCTGTTTTATGAGGGCTACATACCCTAAATGAATCTAAAACTCGACTTAGGCCAGAGAGTTAGGCACTATTACTATTGCCATTTATGGACAAGAAAAACAGATAGGCAGTAAAGCCATAAATTGAACCTCGGCAGGATGAAGAATCCAAGTTATTTGCCATTAGAGCTTCTCCAGTTAAACTAACAGTGAGCCTTACTGAGCTGAAAAAGCAGAGAACATGTACAAGGTTGTAAGGTTATGTCCTGTGTGAACTGGGTTTTAGCAAATGAGGACAGAGAGAAAGGCAGTAGGGAAAAGGTTATCCCAGGGAAAGTAAACAGCAGGGAGAAAAATGCTGGACAAAGGAAAATGAAGATTTAGGTACATCTCCTAAAGGTCATGAGTGGGGAACTGAATTGCCTGCTGAAGTCCAGAGGGCAAGGTTCTTACCAGGGCATAAGTGGCTTTTAGGGAGAGGAAGGCCTGAGGCAAGATACCTTCTCTCTCTGGACAAGTTATGCCTTCCACTATGATATGATGTAAAACATCAGCCTTTCATCAGATACTGATACTGTGCTCTTGGCTTTTCGGAACTATGAGCCAAATAAATGTGTATTCTTTATGAATTACCTTGTCTCAAGTATTTTGTTACAGTAACGGTACATGGACTAAAACAGAAGTCAGCATATGAATTGCACTGCAGGGTTTGGTGGAGGGGGTAGAAAGATCAGACCTGTAGGTTGTAACCAGACTGTGAAGACCCTGAGTATGAAGCTAAAGACTGGGATGAGATGGCTCTGCTAAGGAAAATGATGGAATTACACCTACAGAGATTCAAAGGAATGCAATGAAATGTAATGAACAAATGGCGAGTTAGGCCCACTCCCTTGCAAAAACCCTGAGTGACGGAGGCAGGGAGGCGCTGACTTTAGGATAGAACGAAAGCATCAAGACCTCCAGGGCAGGAAGCCATTTTCATCTTGCAAGTCCGCTCAGACCACCTATCCAGAGGCTTTCTGAAGTGACACTTCAAAGGCTCAAGTGATAAGATTTGAGCCTCCTGGCAGTGGCTGACCTGGGTAAGAAGAGGTACGCTGGTCTGAGGACAGCATGTACGTCATCTCTATTCTGGATGATGACTACGCCACTAAGCTTTCCCTTCTGTCCTCAAAGTCTACATTTAATGAAGACCTTTAAGCTTGTGTAAAACACTTCAGTAGGCTCCTTCATTCTGCCCTTCTATCATACTTCCGGTTCTGTAGACACTGCCATTTTGCCAAGAAGTGAACCTTGTGAGATGACTCAGTCAGGAGAAGGTTGAGGACGAGGAATAGAACAAGATGCACCAGCTAGGGACTCACCTTTTTTGCTCCTTGTTCTTCTTCTACACCATCTCCTATCACAACATATACCACTTTTCTTCCAAATCTTTGAATTATCCTCTCAAAACAGCTTTCCTTTCCTAATGAACAAAAATAAATTGTAGGAAACGTTAAGTTTAACTCAGTGAGACAGAACTGGGCCTTCTTATACTCAGTGCTTTGTTCATGCTTCCGATTTAACTCTGTTCATCTAAAACAACTAGGAGTGCTCTGTCACTCAATTAAATGAGAAATGGAACCATGCACTAAAAAACTGTGAATTAATTAGCAATATTTCATCTAGCTCTTCATAGTTTAAAGACCACAATTTGCAGTAAAACTTTTATTATTATTCTACAAGCTGAGACTAAAAGGCATGTAATTCTGGAAACTTTCCACATGATTTACAAACAAACAGTTTCATAATATATCAAACTCTGAAAATAATAACTGATCTAAAAACTACTGAGAAGGATAAAAAACAACATAGCTGGGCTTGATTTTTGATATAGCAAGGTAAAACACTGGAACTAGTATAACCCTTTATTTATAGCTTGAAAGATCTGCAAAGCCTAAAATGTTTACTTTGCAATATTCTCATAAAACTCCTGAAATGAATGTCAGGTAATTTGGGGTATTACAGGAAGACCTCATGTCTGCATCTCAGGTTAAATAAAGGCTTTTCTAGAGGAGAACTGGGATAAAGGTAATACAACACCTTTATCTGTCTATTATCTTTCCCATGGAGGGACTTATTTGGACTCCTGCAGCAGCTCAGCTAGGCTAGGGCTGTCAGCACAACCCTGCAGCAAATGCATGCTTTGTTTCCTCTGATGGACAAACTGGTGTTCCAAGTCTGGGCTGCCAATAAGGTCATTTTACTGGACAATGGGACAGTTTCTACTTTTCAAATGTGAATGGCTGAGCAAGGGCCTGCACCTCTTTCAAATAAGGATCAGATATACACATGAACAAATTGCTTGTTTGCTTAAACAAATGTCTGCTTTATATTTGTGTTTTGCACTAAAATCTCTCATTTGCATCTGACAGAGATGAAATAGAGCCGGTCTTATTCAAAGGATGCAATTTCAATGCTGCTGTAGTTGCCCACTAAATTGTGAAATATTGAATCACTTTAAGAGACACCAGTGCAGTGGAATATAAAAGTATAAAATATAAAGTGCAGTGAAAACTCCACATATGCCTGAAACTTTCCCCTCTTTCTTGTGGAGAAATAGAATTTAAACTGGTGGTTAAACATGAAGTCTGTTAGGTGGACAAACAAAATCCTAAATACGCTTTCCTATGTACTGTCTACAGGCTTGATTATGAATCTCTGGTCATGTGGAAATTTTTCACAGTAAATATAGCTGGCTTTTAGAAGTTAGTTAGAAGTTTTTATACAAAGTATCCCCTTTGATGAATCCAGTTTGACTGAAAGAGCAACACAGCTGTGCAAAATGAGGTAGTAGTGGCTCCTTCCTCTACGACACTAGCATTTTGCCTACAGTGAAAATTCCTGGAGTTTTAACTGTCTCCACATATATTTCATTAGATGGCAATAACCACAGGAGCTTTGAGCTCTTCTTTTCCTATTAAAAATGTAGAAGAATGAAATGGCTTTTATGCAATTTTTTTGCCACCACATATTTTCTCATTCTAAGTTTTATTTTATACTCAAATGAAAGCCTCATATTTCAAACAAAATACTCACTTAAAAATATGCAGTGCTCAGCATCTTTACAATAAAATTAAATTAAAAAAACTATTCAGTGTTTACTGGATTGCAATTACAACTTTTTATTATGATACAATTTAAGATTAAACTTCAATGCATAAGCTACTAATACATGATTTGTACTTTATTCCCAGGAGACAAAGGGCTCCAGTTCTGTAACATAGCCTTCTCTGGAACTTTCTTGTGCTGATACCTCTTTTAGTAATATAGATGAAAATAGGATTATCACTTGACTTAATGTAAACTGGCTGCTAGACTATGAAACAGGAGAGCATATCACATTTCTGATTATAATGGGCAACTTTTTCTACTTGGTATATTATCCTCTTTGTATACTTCAGCATTCTGCCTTGACTTTTCTTAGGAAGCTTAGAGTCATCTGACAATACCAGGAAGAGGTATTTTCAGTGTGAGAGGGTCCCTGTATACCAATGGGCTCTTCAAACAGTAGCACCATATGATCAAACCTCACTTTTCCCTCAGTTGATCACACCACTACTAACCCAGGTGCCTAAAAGAAACTCCTGTGTGAGACTTTTTAAATACCACTATTTCTTTGCATCTATATCTTTTTTATTCCAAACCAGGGTTTAATTGGGTAAAAAGTGCTGGTGTTATTGTCATTGTGATGAGTAAATGAGACACACCCGGTCCTCAAGAATATTAAAGTCTGGTGGTAAAGTCATACATACATAAGTGCATGCACAATTGTTTGTGATCATTTAGTAAATACTCAAGGAGAAGTATAGCAATATAGACAATAGAACTATAAGAATTCCATTTTTGGATGGGAAGGGGAAACAAAGGAGGAGGCTACAATGCCTGATAAGAAATGTACTCATTATCTTGCCCATGTAATTGTAACCCCTCTGTACAGAATTCCATTTTTGCCTCTTTTTCTTTTGAGAAAGAAAAACCAGCTGTGTCCCATCTTCTAGGGTTCCTTCTCCTTCCCTGGGCTTATGAATATCCCATTCATTTTTTGTAGGTGAGTAGATGACAACACCTAAGTCTACCCTTCCAACTTTGGCTTTTCGTGAGTATTGCACACCAATGGCTTAGGACCACATGCAAGTTCCTTAGCAGGGAAGTTCTTTTTTTTTTTTTCTGTCCATTAATCCCATTAGCACATCTGCCTGGTAAATTCTTATTTAGCCTTCTATATATGCAGCTCAAATGTCATTTCGTCTCCTTGCTTTCACATTCACTATGCCTGCCTCCCAATGCCTGTGAGCCAATGATTTCTTGGCCATTGCATGTAGCTTTTACTTTTACGATTTCCCCCCAGTGGTACTGCAGCTTGAACTCAGGTCCTCATGCACTTGAGCCATGCCTCCTGCCCCCCAGATTAGGGTTTCTTGATAATTTTGCCCACACTGGCCTGGAACCACAATCTTCTTACCTCTGCATCCCACATGGTTGGAATGGCAGGTGTGTGCCACCATGCCATTCTTTATTCTTTATTAACTTAAACTCTGTGTAAATTTCATATTAGGCTTTCCCCCTTTAACTGTGTTTCTTCTTGCAAGAAGTTTAACTTTTGTATTTGTCACGAGAATTTAGTTATTTGTACATATGGATTAAAACAACAAAAACCCATTTTTAGTAATAACAGAAGAAACGGTTTGTTTTCTCTTTCTTACTTTGCACAGTTTAATATTAATATTACTAGCTAATATTGCTATTTGTTTTACTTACAAAATATTTTGACTGATAGTCGAAGAAAAGAATAAAAGATAGTCCGAATTGATGTTAAATTACAGCTAAAGTTCACAGATCTTAAGGTTAGCCAGAAAAGTAAAATTTCATAACTTTAACAACATGAATGATGCTTTTTCTTTCCCTTGTTGTCTAAAGCCAATTTTGAAAATAAAATCGCTATTCCATTTTTGACCTCTTGAATTTCTGAAAGAAAAAAACGTGCTTTGACTTCCTTTCATTGTTACTAACCTGAAGGACATAAATTTAGTGATTAAAAAAATCAGCACAGCTCACCTATTTTCGTTGCACTGTAAATATTTTCTATTGGAAATACAACTCCTAATCCATATAACAGGACTTTCGCCAAGGCTGGGATAAGCTGAGTAGTAGTTACTAAAATATTCACACAGTTCGTCCTGTGAGAACAGAAAGAAGCAGCAAAGACTGTTGAAAAATAAATCTCCAAAACAAACACAGACAAGCAACACCTCTGTCCTAGCAAAGGCCGCAAGCGCCTCACCGGGAGTGAATGAGGGAGAGGGCTTTCAGGGCCAGGGTCAGCCAGGAGTCGGTCAGCGCTTCAATCTCAGCTCTCAGCTGAAGCCAGGCTTCCCTCTTAGCTGGGCCCAGCAGACCTGAGGATTGAAAGCACAGATGAACCACCTTACTGAACTCTATTAAGAAGAAAGGTTTAGGAAAACTCCCATGGCACCCTTGACTACGCAGTACACACAGTCAGTGTTCACCTAGACCAATCGGTTGCATATGTGTGTGCCATTTATTGAGAACATCTTGTGACATACCTAACATCCCTTCTGGTGACAGGAGGCATCTCTTTTTGGGGGTGACCCTGCTCTCTCCCCTGCTTCTAGCTCTGGGTACAGGGTGGGAGGGTGACTTTGGCCTGGCAGGGACAGCAAGTCTTGGAACTTTTGCTAATTTTACAGGAAGATATTGCCGCTCCCCTGTGGAAGTTCTAAACTGGTTGGATAGAAACCTAGATCTACTGGTGGCCACTCTGCCCCCTCCTAGTGACCTAATAAAAGTCCTGCCCAGAGGAAAGCACAGGTCTCCACTATAGCATTATTTGGGCATCTGGCTCCAGTCAGGCCAGAGGCTCATCTCCTCCCTACACTTGTCATCACTAATTCAAACACATTCCTATTTCTGCTAAAGCCCTTCTGACCACTATGAACCACAATGGAAAGCCCAACATCTACTCAGCAGAAGGAATATACTGGCTTAACTTGTGATTTGGGCAGTGGTTGGCCAGCTCATTTTGTTGGATGGAATGAATGTCAGAGAGGTCAAGGAACTTGCCCCGGGTCACACCACTAAGTAACCAGACAAAGCAGCTGACTCTAGTCGACTATTCCTGTCACTAAATCACAGCAAAACAACTACTAGTTAGCTGAAACTGGACTCAAAAAGCTCTTCAAGCCAAACCGGAGTAACCCCAAAGAGAGTGGATTATCTTCACAATGCCACTAGGGTGTCAGGTGCAGTCACTTGCCTCCCACATTGTTCTTGTAATTGTTGTAGATCTCTTTTACTCGTCTATAGCGGAAAGCCAGCTTTCTCATCCAGTCCACGCCACCCCGGACCCCAGTTGCCAGACATAAATTAGCACTGGTGGCTGCAGCAGGAAAGCCGTCGGTTCCAAAGTTATATGTGCTATTTAGATGCAAGAAAAGCCCACAGTTAACGGAACAGAAAACTCATCTGGATCAGCCAAGCAATTCAGCTGAGTCTGGGGAGAGCATCGGTTGGGCAGCTAAGGGCTAAGGGTACCCACCTTAGATCTTGTCCATTGTCATCTGAAGAAACATCATCTATATGAACTTGGTCACATTCCTAAAAGAAATTAAAATGATAAATGTTAATTTTGAAGAAACACCTATGTTTTATTATTTTAAAAAACAAGTTATTTTTAAAGCACCTTAATTGTAGTGTTTTTCAACAATGTCAATCAGTAGGTGGCAGTCTTGTGAAATTGACATTTTTACCTACTTAGGGTCTTCTCAAGGAAACAAAGCAATGTCATCAAGGACTACCGTTATTCAACTTCAGAAAACACATTTTTGTGTTTAGAAAGGAAAGTGGTTGAAAACAATTAGCATATGTGTTCCATAAACCTCAGGTACCCTAAGACATCATGCTGCTCTGAACTGATTCAGTGAGTGCCTAAGCATAACTGGAACCAGACATCTTGGTAAATGTAACATGCTAGAAAAATTAAACCTGATGCTAACTGCCAATGAAATTATGACCTCTGATTGCTGCTGAGCCACACACCAACACAGCCCCAGGCCAGTGTGCTGAGGAGCCCAGACAGAAAATCTGTTACTGGTTTGCCATTTATTTGAGAGATGAGAGTTTTATTCTTTGTGCGTGTGCGTGTGCATGTGTGTGTATGTGTGTGTGTGACAGTGAAAGAGAGAGAGCGAGAAAGAGAGAGAGAGAAGCAGGAGACTGCAAACTCTAAATAAAAATAAGTAACCATATATGTAGTATTTTTTAAAAAAATGGTTGAATTTAGTGTGTTGTTACCTATTCATTCCAAGTGTTAGATTTATTAGTTTATTGTAGCATAATGTTATTTTGACCCGACTTGAGTTTTAAATCCTAAACAGCACACGAAATGTTTAGAACAGCTGGTTGTCACAGGGGCATGAGGGGTGAGGGGGCTTAGCGCTCTCCTGGGCTGAGGGAATGTTTGCGCACCTGCCTGCATAGGAGCAGGGCACATGTTACTGCTTCTACCTCCACTCCTGGTAAGCTTCCAGAAAGAGAATGTGCTCAATAAACTTCGGCCAGATAAATGAAGACATGCTAGTTTGGAACCAGCTAAGGTGTCTAGTCCAGACACGAGTAACCCATACCCTTCTGATGCTTTCATATTTGTCATGTCCCTTCCTTTACATTTATCTTATACTTATTAAAGTTTTAGTTTAAAATATTCATGAAAGAAATTTCCAGGCACATATCCTGTCTTTCAAAAAGTTCATCTTGACTAAGGCTCTGGTCATGCTTCAGATCAAGTTAATTTTGTTAACTCTAGCCTCTGTCTCTAGTGCTTGATGTTCAGATTGCTAACAAAGATCATATATGTAAAAGACCACAGTAATAGGAGGTGTGTTTCTATGTTGCTGACTCCCTCTCAACAAATTCTTCTTTCTCCGTGGATTTGTGAGGAAGGGAGCAGGAGACAGAAGTAGAAGAAACTCAAACCAGCTGTTCCTTAACAGAATTAAAATTGTGACCCCCAACCTCTTCTCCAAAGCATCTATTTTCCAGGCAGCCCTCTCCCAGCAAGCAGCAAGTTCCAGGGAGGAAAAGACTTTGACCTTGTAACCCTCCCAGGCTCTCTAGAGGTCTATAACCCCAGATAAGAAAAAAGAAAAAGCCTGGCTAGCAGCCCTCACATGCTGACTGTGAATTTAACATTTGTAAAACAGGTCATTCTTGGAAAACACAGTGGGGAACTTCTCAGAGTTAACAATTTAATCTTATTTTAGGAGAGGTATGATAGTTGCATTTTCAACAACCTACTTACTCCAGGTTTAGAGAGTTACTAAATCAGGAGACAAAACTTCTGATCTTTACTCAGAAGAGTAATTGTTATGCTGTTGGTAACCTTTCCTCCCCTCCCCCCACCAAGCAATGTGGGTTCTGGAAAAAATAAAAATAAAGAAAGGGAGAAAGAAAAGTAAGAAAGAGGAAGGAAGAAAGGAAGGAAGGAAGGAAAGCAGGCAGGCAGGCAGGTAGGAGAAATTTTCTCTTGAGAAAGAACAGAAGGGAGGAGGAAGTCAGGGAACAGAGAAAAAAGAGAAAGAATTTAATTCAAGAACTCAAAACTGACCTGGAATTCTTGGTTGACATTAAGGGTGGGAAGAATTGTTTGGAAAAAGAAGTAGGACTCTTTTCTTAAACTAGTTCAGTTGTAAATCTTCACTAACAGAAGTCCCTATCTTCAAGAACAGTTAGGTTAAAGATTCCATAGTTGCCCTCCTTCTCCACACATTTTCTTCTGCTAGCTTTATTTAAAACTTACTGTTCCCAGACCCCATTAGAAAAACTGGTCAATATTTGGGTTAGTTATAATTGTCAACAGCTTCAAAGTGTTACTTGCAAAGAGTAAATTCAGTCCACCATGATTTGATTAAAGCAGAGTTTGGTGTAAAGGCCACAAAGAAATCCTCATTCTTTATCATGAGAATTCATTACAGAATGAATTTCATGAAGGATGACTCAAAAGTCAAGAACACTCTTGAAAAGGCCTAATTAGCACCTTTAAGCATGAAAAATGACTATGTAAATATGCTGTTGGAATTGTTGCTCACTGTATTTAATGAACAGCAGAAAAATATACTACCGTACTAACTTCAGATCTACAGAACACATGCTTTAAGTCTTTCTGGGAGCCTCAACTAATAGCGTAAGTGCTTAAGCTTTTTAAGCTTCCTCAATAATTTATGGAGAAACTATAGTATTATTCTCTTGATTACCTACAAAAATTTAATAATCATAATATTCATATATGAAAATGGAGCTAGGAAACTTGAGGGTGTGGGTGGTGTTGGGAGAGATGGGGGAGAATAATGGAAGGAATGACACTGATCAAGATGCCTTGTGCTCACAAACTGGTGTGCTGAATTGCAACACCTTTGTATAACTACTTAAAGATAATTTAATAATACTTAATCCCTAGGGCTAGAAGGTACCTTTTCTCATCATGAGGAAATCTTGGGTTTGATCCTCGTGCATGCACATACAAATAATTAATATTAATTAATAATTTTCCCCAAAATGGCAAGTATTAGAACATTGTACTATTTCACAGTGGAGCCACAGATATTAACTTGTCCTAGGTTTGTGTACTCCCAAATTAGAAATCTTGCCCTCATTCAGCTATCCTGGAACTCAGAGCCCTCCAGGATGGTGAACTTTTCTCCTTTGGCTTTTTAGAAATCATCTAGCTTTTTGTTTGTCTTAAGCTTAATTTTAGGTTTTCACTTTTGCCATCTATACTTGGTCATTTTTAGTCTCTAAATTTACTGTAAACTCACACAATTAGACAATGGAGGGAGAACAGGGCTGCACTTAGAGTTCTTGGTTTTATACAGAAAGGGATCTTGAAGCTAGCAACAGAATGTGAACACACTGGAAGTTTCTACAGATGCAAAAGACAAACACCATGTTGTTTTTGAGGTGTCAAACTATTCTTCTAAAAAAAAAATCCCTAGTTACATGCTTACAACACAGAGAGCAAAACAGAATTCCATGGGAAAATATGTTCTTATTCCAAAACCAAATTGAAAGTGCTGAAAGAGCACTTTTGAAATTAAGTTTCCAAAAGTATGCTATGGGGCTTTAAGGAGTTGAAATAATTCGCAAATCCAAGTCTTGGGACAGTGTTTACATTTCTAGGGCCTTTGCCAAGCCAGCATGCTTTACATATTAATCTGCATCACAGGGTGTTGGGGTGCCCAAAGGACATCTACTCTGGGTGTCTGGCCTGAGATCTCCTTGGGGGAAAAAGTAGGGACTGGTAGGGTTCCGGATGGGACCTTTGATCAGCATGCTAGCTTAAAATGGAAAATTCTTCAAGGTCTCCAGTCTTTAAAGGGGAAAAAAACATCAAGTATCAGTGACCACAGGAGGAAAACATCACTAGGCCTCTGTGAGAAAATACGACTATTATTTAAACTTTACTCACAGGTGTCCTCAGGCCAACAGGCTGAACATTCAGATGGGAACTTCTCACAAGAAACCTAAAAGTATTCCTCACAAGAAAGCTAAGTACTCAAACCTCCAAAGGCCAATGTTCTCACCCTAGAGATAACCCTGCTTCCCATCTATGGAAAGTATATTTGTTAACAGGAACTGCAATTGTTTTCCAGAAAGCACTGACTGTTTCCTTGAACTCACAATTAACTAAAGGCATGAGAATAGCCTGGCACCTCAGCCTCCATTTTATATTTGCCTTTGCTCTAAGTCATTCTTTCTAAAAATCACTTTGTAATCCCCTTGGGTTCCAGGAAAGACAGGACTGATTGATAGCATCTTTATGACCAGGGATGGAGACTACCCCTAAGAAATAACAGCCTGGCAGGGCAGATCCTCACCAAAGAGAACAATTACCTACAACTGCCAGGCTTTCCCTTGGAGCAGGGAGAATCATCTCATGGGAACAAGATTGTTTCTCTCAAGTGCTGACAGAATAACAACTTCTTCAGGACTTGGAGAACCAGAACTGAAATAATGAGCAGAGCAGGCCACTGCGACTCTTTATGTATATCTCTGTCACTGGGTCCTATTTCTCCTTAAATTTAAACCTAACATTCAGATATGTTTCCCAAAGATGGCTGAAGGTGAACTGCAGAGCCTTCTTTCAGTAGCCTTGCTCAAGCTAGATACTAAACCTCCTTTCTCTGTCCATTGCCATGGCTCTTTATTTGGCATATAAAAAATGTAAGTGGCCAGACTGACACATGGAACTCCTAGACTCCAGGTTCTGCCAAGGTCACAACAGCATTTTCTCTAATGTTGGTCGTGACCAAAGAAAGGACTTCCTGGCTGTTTGTAGCTTGGAGGACCGCAGCTGTGTAACAAGTCCCCCTTGCCTCCTCTTCTGTGCCTAGGGTTTGTGAAAGTGTCCCCACTATTCCCCAATGGAGCATGGATGCGTGGCCTCAATCCTCCAGTGCAAACCCCAACCCATCCTGTCATCACTCTGAAGAGATTGGCACTTCAGAGAGACTTCATCCTGAAGAACTGCCACTGTGGTCACCAGGTCTTGGCCACGATGGAGGTGCAGAGAGAGTGTGATTGGAGGTGATGAGAGCATGGCT